GATTTCAAAGGTTTACTTCAAGGCTATTTGGAAATTTAGATTAAAATCCAGTTATGTATTGATATTCTCGAAGGCCCAGAGCACAGCATTGCTAAGGAATTAGGTGACCTGTAGCCTGTTGACCACACTGGAAACCGGCTACCAAGAATTTCGTCAAGCGCTTGTCGGTTAATGGCTAGATGAAAAATGAGTGGGCCATTTCCATGATGGGCCTAATTTCATTCTGAATGTTACTCTGTAGAGTATTAACCTCAAACCCTTTCCTGATTCACCACACGGAGAAGTGGTGCTCACATGACATCATTTCCACGTAACGCTTCCTTTAGAAGTGACCGTTTCGTTCCTGTATTTCTTGAAGGCTGCCCTGGGAGCTGGCTTCTCTGACAAGACTCCTGCTCACACTGTCACCATGGCTTGCATCTCTGCCAACCAAGCCATGACCACAGGTATGTTTACTTGAAAGCAGAAGGTACATGTTAATTCTCCTTGGTCGTTTATACGATCATAAAAAAAAGTACTCTTAACAAAAGTATATGATCAGCAGAGATCTCTGAATTTGTGTCGTTTTTCAAAAATAAGGTCATATTTAACATTTTCGATTTTTGAAGTAGTTCTCATCTTTTCTTGCTGTCTAGGCCTGAGGGACACAACCATTCATGTAGTTTCTCCATCAGTAATGTGGCTGGCCACAGCAGGGATTATCAGCTGGAGAAGTATGTCTCTAGGAGGGTGCTTCTGAATTTGAGCCATGAATAATTTATAACCTGTTGGTTTTGTGGTTTTTTTTAATTTTTTTTTAACATTTATTTATTTTTGAGACAGAGATAGAGCATGAACGGGGGAGGGTCAGAGAGAGGGAGACACAGAATCTGAAACAGGCTCCAGGCTCTGAGCTGTCAGCACAGAGCCCGACGCGGGGCTTGAACTCACGGACTGCGAGATCATGACCTGAGCTGAAGTCGGCAGCTCAACCGACTGAGCCACCCAGGTGCCCCTAACCTGTTGGATTTTAAAAGTCAGGTGAATCCCAGGGCTGCTGGGTGGCTCAGTCAGTTAAGCATGTGACTTTGGCTCAGGTCATAATCTCACGGTCCATGGGTTCAGGCCTTGCATTGGGCTCTGTGCTGACAGCTCAGAGCCTGCAGCCTGCTTCGGATTCTTTGTCTCCCTCTCTCTCTCTCTCTCTCTCTCTCTGCTCCCCTCTCCTCTCAAATATAAATAAACATTAAAAAAAAAAAAAATTAGAAAAAAAATGGTTAAGTTAGGGGAGTCTAATACACCCCCATGAAGGTTGTGGCCCAAGTGATAAATCACTGTGTAAGAAGTACAGTACAGACTCTTTCCTCTGCTTTCTCCCCACACCTGTGGAATTTTAATAATTAGTTACAAATTCTCCTGACAAACTCTAGCAAAATAGTGGGACATTTTGCAGTGGCAGTGCCTGTTGTGAAAAGACCGAAACCTGAAAGATGACTGTGCTCTTTTAGTAACATCAAGGCCAGGTTGCAGCCTGCCTCATGAGTGGCAGAAAATGATGCCACAGGCCGTGATTGGGGGCATTCACCACTCTATGAAGCATGTGACAACTTCCAGATAGAGCAACAAAATACTCGCCAGTGGCTAGAAAGAGGAGCAGAGGTTGCCTTACATCTTCAAAAGCTAGACTTTCTCTAGCTTGTAGTAAAAATTCCTGTTGTAGGGATAAAAATCTTTCTGAAAACTAAAGCTGGGAGTTTGTAAAATATGCAGAATGTTCTGGTTTAGACTGATTTGAGGGTTGGTCCAGTGGATATTTCCAGAAGCTGTTGTCCATATGGACTGAATGAAACTTGTTTTTCTCTAGTGCATTGAATATAGTTTTAGTCATTCAAAAAAATTATCTTAATCCCTCTGAAAAAGTTAAAAGCATGATTACACATGTTATAGAATGCTGATAACTGTCGTACAACAGGAATTTAATCAAGAAGCTTCAATTATCAGTGGTCTGTTAATTTCTGCAAAAGATGCTCATGTTCCTGTAACCTGTGCCCTGTAGGTGTTGGCTTGATCGCCTCCGGGCAGTGCGATGTGGTCGTGGCAGGTGGTGTAGAGTTAATGTCTGATGTCCCTATTCGTCATTCAAGGAAAATGAGGAAGATGTTGCTTGATCTCAATAAGGCCAAGACTCTGGGTCAGCGACTGTCTTTAATCTCTAAATTCAGATTGAATTTCCTGTCACCTGAGGTAAGACTTGGGACCTCTTATGTAAAGACCTGTGCTTCCAAAGCATCCCACTGCAAAGATACATAATTAGTTATACGGTCGGTTATGCTCATTTGTAGATTCTGTTAGTTACAGGGAAAGGTTAATTATTTGCTCAAGATGGGGAAAAAAGATGGTGCTTAGAAAATTTGAATTTGTAAGCCCTCCTGAGAGACGCCCTGCTCACAAAAAGCTTCTCCTGTCTTGGTCTTGACTTTCCCAGATAACCCTGGGCATGGTATAACACCTGTTGACAGCGTACCTGATCCTGTACGTTCCCTTCCCCAGCTCCCTGCGGTGGCCGAGTTCTCCACCAGTGAGACCATGGGCCACTCTGCAGACCGACTGGCCGCTGCCTTTGCTGTTTCTCGACTGGACCAGGATGAGTACGCGCTGCGCTCTCACAGCCTGGCCAAGAAGGCCCAGGATGAAGGACTCCTGTCTGATGTTGTGCCCTTCAAAGTACCAGGTAAAATGGTTTCCTCAGCTTTATAAAGGAGGATGCTTCATGCCACCTGTTAGGGAGTTCTGAGAGTTCTGAATCGCTTCTGAAACTCCAAAAGCCCCAAATGACTTCTCAGTAAGTATGTTGGTCCTGTTTCCAGAACACTCACTTTTAAACATGGACTCAGGGTTCGATTTATGTTGTAATAGGTCAATATTTTATTTTTTTTAATGTTTATTTATTTTGACAGCATGTGCACAAGTGGGGGTGGGGGCGGAGGGGGAGAAAGAGAGGGGGAGGGAAGGAGACAATGAATCCCAAGCAGGCTCTGCACTGCCAGTGCAGAAGAGTGCAAGGGGTGGGGCTTGATCTCACAACCGTGAGCATGACCTAAGCCGAAACCAAGAGTCAGACATTTAACCAATTGAGCCACCCAGGTGCTCCACAACATTTTAAAGAGAAGTTTTCATAAGAGTCTGCTTTTACGTCTTCCTGCTGTATTTTAGTTTTTATGTAGATGCCCATTTAAAAATTCTTCATTCATGTGATTTCTGAATAGAAGAATAGTCAAATAGAAGAATAGTCAAAGAAAGTAGGGTGTCCTGGGCACCTGGGTGGCTTAGTCGGTTAAACGTCTAACTTCAGCTCAGGTCGTGATCTCACGGTTCGTGAGTTCGAGCCCCGCATCGGGCTCTGTGCTGACAGCTCAGAGCCTGGAGCCTGCTTCGGATTCTGTGTCTCCCTCTCTCTGCCCCTTCCCCGCTCATACTCTGTCTCTCTCAAAAATAAATGAACATTTAAAAAAAAAAAGAAAGAAAGTAGGGTGTCCTTTTGTTAGATCATTTAGATTATTTCCCAGATGTCTTAAAAATATAGTTCAGGGGTGCCTGACTGGCTCAGCTGGTAGAGCATGCGACTCTTGATCTCAGGGTTGTAGGTTCAAGCCCCATGTTAGGGATAAAGATTACTTAAAAAAAAAAAAAAAATCTAAAACAAAGTATTGATTAAGATTCGATGACATCTTAATAACTGTAAAAGATTTTCTTTTTAGTAAATAGCTATGGGTTACATTTCATTTGTTCTTATAGTTTTTAAAACATTTCTCTGGAGAAGATATATAAAGCTTGTACTTCTTTAGAGTTAAAAAGTTCATGTTTTTTTTAGGAAAAGATACAGTTACCAAAGATAATGGCATTCGTCCTTCGTCTCTGGAGCAGATGGCCAAACTAAAACCTGCATTCATCAAGCCCTATGGCACAGTGACGGCTGCAAATTCTTCTTTCCTGGTAACTATGTGTGCTCTTTGTGTTTACTAGTGACTTTTATATCTGTGGCCTTTCAGTAGAAAAGCCTACAATAGATCTATTTATATGTATTATAGAGGCGTAAACATCTAAGTTATTCATTATAAAAATATTAAAATGGGATTATTAAAAAAACAAAAAGAAGCCTAGTTTAAGGCCTTCAGAGTCACCTAATCTAGCCACCATTCTGATACAAAAAGCTGTTCACTTCAGGCATTTAACCAGTCAGGAAGCTCTGATTAGCTCTCCTAGGCACTGGGGGTAGAAAGGCCAGTGATGATAATGCCAGGAGAAGATGCGATGGAAGTTGTAAGCGCAGGCTAACAGAGAAGACGCACACGGGGGGAGTCAGAGAGGCTCCGTCGAGGAGGTAGCATCTGAGCAGCAAATCTTGAAGGAAGGGTACAAGCCAGTTCAAGAAGTGTAATAAATGCATTCTAGGCAAGGGGAACAGCAAAGAGGTATGAGAGCGAGGGTTTCTTTGGGGAAAAGCTTGGTTGGAGCATAGGATGTGAATTTGAGGAGTTGTATGAGATGTGGAAAGTAGGCAGAGAGTGTGACAAGTTATCTTTCAGCTCCGCTTGTTAGAAAATGATGCTCTATACTGGTCCCCAATTACGTTACTATAAGCGATTTCTATAAGCGTTTTCCTATAAAACATAGAATAAGTATATCTACCCTCATTTCTTGGGGTGGTGGTTTTATTTATCAGCATATAGCTTCATATCCTTCCTCGTTTTTTGGCTCAGAGCCAAATGGATGTTAACTAAACATCCCTTTGATTCTGTTTCTGCTCACAAGATGCGGTTTCTTTTCTCCTACCACCTTGGGGTATAGTCCTCTGGATAGAGTCTAGCTGGTCAGCATTTCTTTTACAATGTATCTTCCTTACCTGCATGGGTAACATGGGTACATGTTGACATGTTTGACCTTGTTAAGTGACTACTTAACCCCCACTCTTGGGCTAGGGGAGGGGTGCCTGGAATGATTCCAGCAGGATGGTACGCCACCATCTTGTTAGGCGTGAGCGGTGAAGGACTGGTTAGATAATCATTTCCACCACCAAATTGAATGATAGGGCCATATGGGGTGGGCTATACTCTTGCCAGATCTGAACTTCTTTGATTACTTCTGGTGTGTGCTAAAGGGGCGGGTTTAGTCATTGGAAGTCAGAAATGCAAATCATCAGAGGCAGCACATCACAGATAGGCGGGTTTTGGGCAATGTGTTGATGCACCACATTCATTGTAACTTTGCACAATGGCACATTGAACATATTAATGTAATGTCCATAAACCATTATTATGTATGGTCACCGCTGTTTCCAGACCTTATGGCTCCTCTGTTGGTGGTAAGGTAGCTCCATCGTGACTTCAGGGTTACTAAGTTAAAATAATATCATAGAATGTGGTAGAAATTGTTCTTATGTTGCAAACTCCGAAGTAGTGGGTTTTGGATTTTTTTTTCTTTTTAATGTTTATTTTTGAGAGAAAGAGGGTGACCAGGGGAGGGACAAAGAGAAAGGGAGACACAGAATCCGAAGCAGGCTCCAGCTATCAGCACAGAGCCCAACGTGGGGCTCAAACTCATGAACCATGAGATCATGACCTGAGCTCAAGTTGAACACTTAAATGACTGAACCACCTAGGTGCCCCTGGATTTTTTTTTTTTTTTTTTTTTTTTTTTTTTTTTTTTTTTTTTTTTTTTTTTTTTTTTTTTTTGAGCTTTCTTTTAGTCGTGGTATAAGGCTTTTTTTCAGTGGTAGCTCTTTGTCTCTCAACTTGATTTCTCAGTTGGTAAGAAGTATATGGGGTGTGTCCAGAGAGGAAAGACCATGGTTCCAATGTTCTCAGCTGCCTGCCTGTTTCTTTCATATCACCTCGAAGCCTGTGTTTCCTTCCACAGGCAGGAAACAAGTTCAGAAACAGTACATAAAATGTAAAAATAAGTAAGTAAATGAGAGACTATTTTAATTCATAAGATTTCTCATATTCTGTGTCAAAAGCAAAAATCTTTTGGCTTAAGTTTATTATGAATACATACTTCTCATGTTACCTATTCTCTTTGTCCATTTTGATAATGATGGTACTTTTTGACAGGTTTTTCTACCCTCTTAAAACAATGGGTCAATGTGTGTATTTGGGTCGCCCATTAATTATGGATAAAATGAAAATAGTTTTGTTTTATAAAATCTCTGTATACAGTGTAATTAGTTGATAGATTCAGGAACACTACATAGAAGATGGTTGTACAGAGACTTCCAGAAAGGCTGAAGAATTTAACGTTATTGTTCTCCTTAACATTTCAGACTGATGGTGCATCTGCAATGCTGATAATGGCAGAGGAGAAAGCTCTGGCCATGGGTTATAAGCCAAAGGCATATTTGAGGTAAAGTAAATGTTCAAATAAATGGCCGCCTCAGTTTCTTTATTTTATTACTGGAGCTAACCCCTCTGTTTTTTACCTAGGGATTTTGTGTATGTGTCTCAGGATCCAAAAGATCAACTTTTACTTGGGTAGGTAACAGTGTAGAAATATCCTAGGACTATCATTAGAAGTATTTGATTACCCACATTTATTATATAGATTTTAAAGTACATTAAGTTCTGAGTTCATAATTGTTTTGTGTGTTGGATTCTTAAAAATAATCCTTTATGTTGGTATATTATTTTACAGTTTTGGATTTTTTTTCCTCTTTTTTTGTATACATTTCTACATATATAATGTATTCTTTTTTCATTAAGGTGTCATAAGCATTTTTTCATATTGCTACATAGTCTTTATAATGGCCTTTTATGAAAGCCTCCTGGTGTTTAGACTGTCTTCCCATCCCTCACAGCTCTGTGTTTTTCTAATTCTTCACATTATTTGTTTGCCCTTCTCTTTCATAGTTTGTTTATTAGCTATATCCCTGACTCTAGAATGTAAACTTTGTAAGGACAGAGGCTATGTCTGTTTAGTTCACTATTGTGCCCCCAATACTTAATATTTGTACAGAAGCAGTGAATGAGTGGAGGGCATTATAATACCTTATGTAAAACTCACCTTGGAGGATAAGGAGTTCTTAGGTTAAAAATTAAAGTTTTAACACATTACTTATTTTTTCTTTTTAGACCAACTTACGCTACTCCAAAAGTTCTGGAAAGGGCAGGATTAACAATGACTGATATCGATGCTTTTGAATTTCATGAAGCATTCTCAGTAAGTCACTTAAAAGATACATATCAAAGGACTGTAATCATAAAAAATGTATTGTGTTGGGGAGATCCAAGTGTGTTTTATGATAGTGTTATAAAACACAAGTAGAGCTTTATATTTGAAATACTGACCTATACTGTTGGAAGGGGTGTTAAGTGGGGGGAATCCAGTCGTGCAGTTTTGAAGACATACCTTTTGCTGTGATCTCTTAGAGGCTCTTCAAAAGAAGCAAATGTTTCCTTAGGAAGATTTCACTGAAAACTGATGTAAAGATTTGCTCAACTTTAATGTCAAGGGACATTAATAACAAGGTCCTTTCCCTTGTAGGGTCAGATTTTGGCTAATTTTAAAGCCATGGATTCTGATTGGTTTGCACAAAATTACATGGGTAGAAAAACCAAGGTAAGTGATTAAAAGCATGCTTGAATTTCCAAAGCACAGTAATATTTGGGCTGTTAATAAAAATATGAAGGGGAAAGCAATTCCTTTTTATGAAGAATTTTTTATTTTAGTAAATGTATTTATTTCTTCGTTGGAAAATAGTTCCTGGAAATCTTTAGAAAAAAAGTAAAATTCTGTTTTGTCTTTTGTTCTTCCAGTTCTGGTGTTAGGTGAAGGTAAATAGACAGTGGCTTTCAGAATTGACCTAGAATTTCTTTCTTTACGATAAAGTAATACGTGACGTGTCTCAAGTTAGTCATTTTCTCCATCTCTGTTACCTGCCTCTTGCTAGGAGTCTGGCCTGATTCTTAATCTTAAGTAAACTCATCATTATATTTGTGTCTGTTTTTGTGGGAGCCAGGTTGGGTCACCTCCCTTGGAGAAGTTTAACAACTGGGGTGGATCGCTGTCCCTGGGACACCCATTTGGAGCTACTGGCTGCCGGTTGGTCATGGCAGCTGCCAACAGATTACGGAAGGAGGGAGGCCAGTATGGCTTGGTGGCTGCCTGTGCCGCTGGAGGGCAGGTATGTCACAGCAGCTTCAGAGGTGCTTCTGGAAAGTCATTTTCTTGCAAACCAAACCAGCTCATTCCAAGCACGTTTCATTTGCTTCACTTTGAAACATCCTTAGAGCAGTATTTCTGATAACAGACAACTAAAAAACAGCAGCCTATTTTGAGGGAGGAGGGTACAACTTTAATTCTTGATCGTACTTTGGAAGGAAGGTAGTTTTTAAACTCGAGCTATTTCTATTCCTAAAATAATGTTTATATATATTTTTTAATTTTAAAAGGAATACATCCTCATTATGTTTCTATATACAAAAAGCGTGTAGAAAAAAATGAGAGCCGGGGCACCTGAGTGGTTCAGTCGGTTAAGCGTCTGACTCTTGGTTTCAGCTCAGGTCATGATCTCATGGTTTCAGGGGTTCAAGCCCCACATCGGCCTCTGTGCTGAGTGCGAAGAGGGATCCTCTCTGTACTTCTCTCTCTGCTCCTCCCCCAGTTGCACTGTCTGTGTCTTAAACTGAAAAAAAATTTTTTTCTTATTTTTTTTTTTTTTTAATTTTTTTTTTCAACGTTTATTTATTTTTGGGACAGAGAGAGACAGAGCGTGAACGGGGGAGGGGCAGAGAGAGAGAGGGAGACACAGAATCGGAAACAGGCTCCAGGCTCTGAGCCATCAGCGCAGAGCCTGACGCGGGGCTCGAACTCACGGACTGCGAGATCGTGACCTGGCTGAAGTCGGACGCCTAACCGACTGCGCCACCCAGGCGCCCCAAAAATTTTTTTCTTAGATAAAATTTTACTCATTTATCTAGTCACCCTGAGGTCATATTTATAAAATCTCTCCGAAAAGTAAATTATCTTTCCTGAAAACTGAATTATACCTTAATTGGAAAATTAATTTACTGCTGGGTAACTTATTGCTGTTTATTTGGGGGGAATTTGTTATTCTACAGATTTCTTTCATTGGCCTTACTTGCATTACAGACACAACTTCCTACCTGCTACATATGGCATTTCACTCTGGGAATAAAATCCAAAAGGAGGGCTGATTGTAATCTTTTTGTCCCCAGTCCTGAGGGAAACAGATCTGGTTTTCTTCCAGATTACAGAAACTTTTCTGTTGCTGATCAAGCTTATAAATATATAAGCTATATAAAAGTGTAAACATCTTGCATTTAAAAGCCTTTATTTATGACCTGTCTCAGAAACTGAAGAAACAAGGGGTCAGTTATTTGTAGGCTAGAGTATTTCAGACTTCATGATGAAAAGCACTTTTCAGTCTGTGTACCTTTGTCCAGAGAAAACCATAGTCAGGACTGGAGCCCCCCACCCCCCCCCCCC